AATATGTGTGTATGTATGAATATAATGAAAGTTGGAATTTATGTGTATGGAAATAAATTTAAGTGGGTCAAAATGTGATTGAGAGTATGAAATCATGGACCGTGTGTTTGGTTATTGGGATTATTTTAGTTGTATCCTTTTTTTATATACTTTTGGGGCAATAACTTGATTCTAGTCTTTTACCATATTTACATAATTCAACATGGGTTTCATGCTATTAATTTAAAAATCATTAACAATTTTACAATTTTATAATTCTTCCGAAATCGTAATTAATATTCAACAATTTTCTACTACATATAAGTTTAATAAGCACACAACTTTCGCATTTTACCAATCAATCATTTAAAATAATTTTACCATTTTCTATTTAGCATGATTTTTATTTTATGTTATTACAATTTTCATGTGATTACTAATTGAAAACCATAATTTGTAGAGAAAGATACATTAAATGCAATAAACTTTTCTGACATTTATGGTTATGTTGGTGCTAAACCGTGTCTATTAACGTAGAATCACAACTATAAAATAATTAATTCATTTAAGATTGTGATACATCTATTTATTTTATTAATAGGTGGTATTGGTAAGGTAGATGAAGAAAAATCTTAATACAATTAAGTGTCATTTAAAAAATAGCCCCAAGAAATCTCCTTTTTGAGCAATTAACATGTTTGGTAAGACACGAATTAGAGTATGGTAGTTTATTAGGGAGCAAAACAACACTAAATACAGGCTTAAATTGTAAATACCAAAATATTGTGGAAGCAAAAGGAATTTCAACAAAAACATTGGGTCAAAACCTAAATATGTCTAATATGAATAACGCGTTATGATCCACACACGTGTCAAATGTTAAGACTGTTTAAGCGTTAAAAAGGAGAGCATTTAAGGGACCCACAAAAATCCACGTCAGCAGTTGACAGGTGCATATGTGTTCCACATGTATATGACACATAATATATTAAATACGAATCTCACGCGCCTTTCTCTCAATTTTTTATGGAAAAATTATAAAAATACCATTTTTTAGATGCACATTTACAAAAATATCATTTAGAGATGTTCATTTACAAAAATGCCACGAATTATAGATTTATAAATCTATATCTTTAAATTTTAAACACTAAAAAAAGTTTTAACCCCTAAACCCTCAAAACTAAATCTTAATAGAACAAAATTAACACAAACATAAATAATATAAATTTTTTTTTTGAAAAAGTAGCATTTTTGTAAAGATTTCAAAAGTGTTGTATTTTTGTAAAGTGACATTTTTAAAAAATTTTCATTTTTCTATTTTTCCATTAAATTTTAGGGTTAATTGGTTGAATAACCATAAAAAAAATTAAAACTTATAAACTAACCAAAACTCTTAAATTTAAGGATTAATATTTTGTCACATATATCTATTTTGATTAGTTTGTAAGTTTTGATTTTTTTTTATGGTTATATAACCAAATTTTCTTAAATTTTACATTAGTAAAACGGTACGTGAGTTCCACGCTCTTTGTGTGCACGTGTGGAACTAGAGAAACTGTTATAAACGAGGAAAAAATGAATTAAACTTGAGAGCCAAAAGGAAAAAAAAAAACTTTTTAAGAACCACAAATGTGTTACATAATCCATAATCTTGAGCCATGAATCTGGTAACGGTCCACAAATATTTTATTTAAATTGAACAAGTATTCATGCAATTGCAAAATATTTCTTATTCTTGTTGTTTTGGTATAGATTAACTTTTTACAAAAATGTTTTTTTTTTATGTAGAATGTATTTTATGGAAATAAAAAATGAAGATAGTGGGACATGACGCAAGGAAATGGTTGTATCTCTAGGATCTACTAGTGCTTGTCTTTTTCCATCCTAATTCAAGAAGAATCCACACACGAGTTTTCATAACTCTGTAAACTTGTTGAAAAACTAAAATCTCTCTATATTATCTTTTGGATAAAGAAAACGAAATAACAATATTCATAAGAATAACAGACATTAAAAAGAAAGAAAAGGACTTGATAACTTATCACTTCAAATGAGAACTCAATCAACTTTGTGCAACATTTTAGGGTAAAAGCACTCAAGTTTTAAGCCATTAACGAACACTAGACTTAAGGTGATTGATTCGGATAAACCAAACAAAAAGTGTACCTACCAAACCGAACAAAGGGTGATCCAAAATTGATAATAGACCAGCAGAACAATGAAGCTTAATCAATTTTAAAAACTTTGTGCTATGGTTATCGAAGCTCTAAAGTCTAGACTTAGACTTTGATAAATTCCGGTACATGCTCATATGTGTGTATACATATGATCTTAAGAACTAGCAATTTTCAAATGGGTTAAACAACAGGTATTACTTTTGGAGGAATCAACGAATAACTTAGAACACACAAATGTTACAGTTTTTAAAAGTTTCAAGTTTCCGGATGCAGTGTAGACCAAAGAGAGCTCGAGTTTTTTCAGGCGCATAATCAATCAGTGTCTCAGCTTGAAGATCCTCTGTTCAGTTTTTGTTTTTTCGGAGATGGCGACTTAAAGAGGTTCCGTACAGATGTTAAAGGATCGTCTACCTGAAAACATCAAATAAAGAACCACCAGAACTTTATCTTTGATGAAATAACCAATCATCTGACAGGTATAGCAATGTATGTGGTTTCTTGTTTTTACGAGTTTAAATCACTATTCTCTTGCTTAGAGCGAATTTCGAGCCAAACGAATTAAAAAAGATATCAACTCAACGAAAAATCATGCATAGAGGAATTGCAACAAGAAGGACATAAGTTGCACTCTCAACCAACAGAAATTTAAAGCTTTGTGCTTAAGTTGTGGGTTATGTTGTTTATATGATCTCATGGCGATAAAAATACGGGAATAGTCGCAGGTGAGCTGTATCTATTAGTCTGTATTTAGCTTCCTTCCATCCTAACACTATGATCGAGTTTATTTGCCCAAGAATATATACGAAAAGAGTGTAGAGGAATGTGTTACCTTGAAGAGGGAAGAGGGTGATGGTGGAGTTTGACAAGATCCTTTATGGCGTTGTAATGCAGACAGAGTCTGTCGCCATCCTGGGCTTCTTTTACCCGTTGACCAGATCCAAGGACAGAAATGTCTATGTTGCTTGATTGGATCAAATTCCATTTGTTTGTTTGACGTCCCTGATTTACGTCACAAGGAAACAGGAGTTCAGATGAACATTCGTCTATTAAGAGCTATCAAATATGATATACAGAAGGATCTCAGCTATGACCTATGAGTATGGTTTCGTTAGTGGTTGTAAAATAACAGAGAAATTTGTACCCGCATTGATATATCAATTTACCTGCAGATGAGTCCTTCCTTTTGTTGTTTTCGGGAAGATTTGATCTTACGACCATCACTTGTTTGTCTTTGGTTTGTGGTGTAGTATCACTGTCTATATCAGATGTGTTACTTCCTCCATTAACCTTCTCTCCTATAACAACCATTGCTTGATGGCTAGTTTCTGTAACACTGCCATTGTTCTCTGCAATTTCACATTGTTGATCCTGTATAGAACTGACTGTCTCATGATCATGATCTCTAGAGTAAGAAGCAAACCTAGACCTCAAGTTCCTGCCGATAATAGGCAACGATATTGTTGCTTTGAAGTTTTGCTTTGTTGCTGGGGGTCCTCCTGCTATGGTAAACTTTAAGCTTGAAGTTTGAGTTTGAAGAGTACCACCCCTGAGATTTTTCTCTGTATTAACTTCTGTATCACCAGTGACTCTACACAATTCTAGTGGTCGCGGGACAGTTGAGAAAACCCAGAGCCCAACACAGGCTCCACACAGCTTGCAGTCCAGTACGACAGAACTTGGATCAGAGTTTAATGTGTCTGAAAGTGTTGGGTTTTCACTATTCCCTGATATATCATTTGGATCCGGGGTTGAATTGGAGAGGTTTAGAAGCTCGCGCGTAGCAGTTTCTGGCAGTAAATCAATAATATCTGTACCCCTAGCACTCTCACCCGATTTATCTTTGCAATCTACAATATAAGGAAGTGCTCGCGGTTCCCAGCCACATAAACTGATAAGTTTTTGTGCCTACAAATATCAATGCATCAGTAGTCAGTACTATTATCAGACATAACTCGCAAATATACCAAATGCCTTTCATAAAGAATGCAATAGTCAATAAGTGATCTTTCATAAACTGTAAGTCTGTAAGGTAATTATATCAAATTGATGAATCAGGAACAATGATTTGCCATTTTTTTTTTCTCTAAACGGACCAAAGAGAACTCTATTATAGAGGCACAATAAACGAACGATCATCCTATTCAACCAAAATCATATAACTACCTCAAAGCAAAACATGGACATGGAAATGTAAGCCGAAGGCCGAACCAATGATAACATTGCAAAGTCTTATACGTAAGCTAGGAATTATTCGGATTCCTTAAGCGCAGGTCAAACCTGGTAGAAAAGTTGAGCCGGACTTGCTCCAACATGGTTGATAAGGGACTGTGATTGAGAAAGTTCGGCTGATGTGTCGCCACATGCAGGTGCAATAGGTCGATTAAGAAACTCCTCCAGATCAGAGCTCCTCATGTACTCAATAGCTGATGGTGAAATAATAGGCAAAGATGAAAGTTGAAGTAAAGCTTCTGACCGTTCTTCATGCCTATCGACTAAATCCTGCGGTGTCATTGAAGGAAACTGAGAAAGAGTTTCTTCGCATGAATTATCTATCCACGGACAAAGCAATTTATGTCCATTATCCAACTTTAAGCTTAAAACTGACGCCCCTTTCTCCACTGTAAAACAATCACAGAGAAAGTATCAAATTTCAGCGACGACACAACACAAAACCTTTTAATCAGAGTATTAGTAATACAGAGATGATTCTACACATGTTAACCGTACCTTGTTGCTTTGACCAAGAAGATGGTGCAGAAAAGTAAAGATGAGCTCCACAAGATTCACAAGCTATAGTATCTGTATCACTATTCACCCACCCTCTCCTCGCGCAATTCACAGCACTAATAACCTACCA